TCGCTGAGCGTTCGTTCAACCTAACGGTAAACTTACAATGTAGTCGAGAAACGTTAATAACAAGTAAAGCAACAAACAACAACAACAACAATATACATCGACAGCAGCCAACGACAAACGCGCAAAACCTACGCCAACATGTAAACTTCTAGCGCAAAAGATAAACAAAGGCAAAATTGAAAATGAGCAACAACAAATATCAACAAACTACTTTGTATTTATAATTATTATCGCAGCCGTCCGGCGCGCTCGCAGCGCCATTTCAAGTGCTCGTGTATCTCTCTGATAGTCTTTGCACTCCCCACTCCCCCAGCCAGCCAGCCAGCCAGCGTAGCGCGTTTCGTCCGCGATTTAGAACGTGTAAATTGAAAAACTATTTGGATGTAACAGCAGCGTGTGCTGCCCGTGCTGCTGCTACTACTGCGGCCGCTGCCACTGTCGCTGTCTACGTCACAGTTGGCGTCGCTGTTGCGCACGATAAGCGAACTAAAAGTTGAAGGCCATTGCTGATACGCCGCGTGGGACGCGTGTGCTGGCAATTGTATATGTGCGCGCCCCTCTATGTGTGTGTGTGTGTGTGTGTGTGTGTGTGTGTGTGCAGCTAGTTGTTAGCATAGATTATCTAAGTACTAACAGAGATGTGAATACAAATTTATGTATGTGCGACAGGCACGTGACAAAGTGTTCTATATGTATCTGCATTGGAGTTGGGCGCCAGTCTTAATTTCTATACTCTTTTTTCTTATTTTTTTCCTCTATTTTCTATTTTCAAATTGGCTTCCTTTATTTCAATAACATTCGTTATTTTGTGTTAATTCTTAACTTTATATTTCTTTTATAATAGAATTGTGTTTGAATTTGTTTATTTGATTTTGATTATTTTTTATTATCATATTTGGGAATGTTTAAAAAGAATCAAGTTACTATCAGTTGAACGCACCGCAAAGCTATTCAAAGAAAGCAACTTTGTTGTTGTTGTTGTTGTATTTTTAAGCAAGATTACTTTGAAGTAATCAGCATTCTCAATCCCTTAGGCTGGAGATGTTTTGCAGGTATTACATTAACTTGTTAGCTTGCTAAGCAAACAGTCAACGGATAATGCGGACATATTTAACATATTGCGCAATTTGCTGATCGTTCAGCTCAACTCTCGGGGCTCGTTTCGTTTTTTTTTTTTTTTTTTTTTTTGGGGTTTTTTTTTTGTGGTGAGGGAATTGTGGGGGGCTCTATTTTGTTGTGTTCTGCTTGTGTATACTCAAGTGTTCTTTTTTTTTTTTTTTTGCTTTTTGCTTTTTCTGCCGCCCTCTGCGCCTGATAAGCGCCGAATATGCGCACACAAGTTTTAAACAATTTTACGTAAGCAGCTGAAAGTAAAAGTTGATACTGCCATTGCACCCATTAAATAAATACAAAAGCAGCAGCAGCAGCAAGTGGGGAAAATTGTTTTTGCATTCGCTGCAAATGTGCATTGAAAGTGTAAGTGAAAATGAAAACTGCAATCGTCAATTACAATCTGCAAACTGTGAAATTGCGTCGACTTTCGTCAATGAAAATGCAAATAAATGAAAAATAAAAACGTTGCGAGATTTATTTATTTGTGTTGCTGGCGCCGGCGCTGCATTTTTTTTTTCTTTACCCTGTTCTCATTAAAAATGTGAAAAAACGGTATAATGATTTTGAGGAAATCCCATAATGAATATATATATATATATATATATATATATATATATTTATAATTAGTATCAACAGTCGAGTCGAGTCCATATAGCCATGTCCGTCTGCTTGACTAGCTGGAGCTGGTCATTTAAAATTCAAAATATAAGTTTACTTATATTCCTGGCAGCTCATGTTTATTTAATTGTACACATCGATTTACGAAAGCGTTTAATGTCACAATTTTAATTAATAAATAATACACATTCGAATATAATTGATAAATTGGGTAAATTTCATCAATATCGGATTAGAAATACCCAAGTCATACTCGAAACGGATTCTCATAATGATCATATTTAACAGCTGAGTTCAGGGTATATCGTAGGCGAGCTCGACTTCAGCATTACTTGTTTGCCTTTTTTTTAAATTTAATTCTTTGTTTATGTATTTTTTTTTTTATATTTATTTGCTCTTGGTTTTGATAAGAGATTATTGCGAAATTTTTAAATGTCACAATTATCAGAATATTAATATAATTGTTATTATGAAATACATTTGGTTTTTTATTGTGCCTGTTCTTAAGGCTAATAAATAAATAAATGTAATTTGTATTTAAAATCAATATGAAAACCAAACATTTATCTCGAAATGACAATATTGACACGATACGATAAATGCACCTATCTTGACAGCAAATATAATTAGAATAATTATGGGAAAATCCAGTGTTCAATCATGTAAACATCGAATCATTCTTATTAGCTTGTTCTTTATAATAATTACTTATAGAACTGCAACAGAAACCCATGTGAAAAAAGTGACAGCACATTAGACAATAATTTATTAAAATAAAACGAGAAATCATTTCCAAAATGAATGCACAATTTCAATTGCATTGCGAAATGCGAGGAATATAAGAACAAATTGTGTCTTGTATATATTTGAATGCCACAAATAAACGACATTCAAATTGTAATACCAAATGAAAGCCGCGTGATTGTCTGTCCCTGCGAAATTTAGAACGTTTGCAGAAAACAGAAAATAAAAAAAATACCACAAACAGGCAAACACACACATACATAAATAAAATGCGAAACAAATTAACGCAAAAGTTTTCTCAGCTGAAAGCGAAAGTTCTCTGCGAGAGATAGTTTAATGCCCGTTGTTTATTTGTATGTATGTATGTGTGTATGAATATTTGTATGTGTTTTTGTGCTCGTAGTTGCTTGTGCTATTAAATTTTAGAAGCCACACAAACACTGCCAGCCAAATATAAAAAAAAAACACACACACACACACAAATTGCAGGCGTCGGCGTCGGCGCCGCAAATAAAAAACGCTTACGACAGCGCCGGGCCCCAATGGAGCACACACACATGCACATTTTGCGCTTTGTTGTTGCGTGTAGTTGTAATCGTTATTATTGTTATTGTTACTGCTCAGCAGCACACATAACATACACACACACAAGCACACTCACACGATCGCTCAGTCGCGTTCTCTATCTCTCTCTTTCTCCTGCCACGGTCACACACATTTGCGAAAAAGTTTTTTGACGTTTTGTTTATTTATTTTGTTAAGCTGTGCGCGTCGCGTCTGCCAGCAGCAAAAAAAAAAAAACATTTGTATTTCTATTACTAAAAGCTCTGTCCAAAGCTCTCTCTCTCTCTCTCTATGCCTCTCTTGAGCGGTGGCGCTCTTCCTCTCTTCTGAGTAGCTTGCTTTTTGTCTTTGTTGCTTTTGTTTTATATTTTTTTTTATTTTATAAATCGTAAAGAAAAGCAAAAGTGTTTCTTATCAATTGATTTGCTTACACTGCTCCCCGCAGCCGCATGCGTTATTGTTTACCTTCTGTTCGCTGCAATAGAACTTTGCCCAAAAGCCGTAAAGATTAGCAGGAACTGTAAAAAAGGAAAAAAAAGTGAACCACTACCCACATTACACATACACATACACATACACATTTATGTATATGTCCAATTTTAAAAACAAATCCCAAGTAAATCTAATAATAGACGCAAAAAGCACGTACGTGCGAGGGTGGCACTAAAAGTTTGGAATATGTACATTGCATCTGTATATGTCAATAAATATATGTGTGCACGTATATATTCAGTTTTCCTTCATAAAAATAAATGGCTAGAATTTAGAAATTCAGCATCCTTAAAGTAAAATGACATTTTGAAAAGCAGAGCATTGTAAATTTAAAAATATATCAATAGACATTGTCACGATTTCTCAATTCTTCTAAATATTTTTCTATATTTTCAAAATAATGTTTTAAAGTGTATTTCTTTTAATTAGTGACAAATATTTATGAATGTATGTATATATAGATATATGTATGTATATATATATATATTTTTGAGTTGATTTACAGAAATGAGTAAATGCATCCTCATAAATTAGCAATCGCTTACAGAGGCCATTAAATTTAGCCGCAAAGCAAATGCATATAAACACATACAGATACACATACACACATAAATATTATAATTATGTATGTTTGTAGGTTTGTGATTATCTCTCAGCTTTCTACTAAATGTTCATGAGCATTTGCTGCTGTAATTAACAGTTCGTTTAAGCTGTCTAAGCATGGCGACAACAAGCGTAAATTAACACTCGATACACCAGTGAACACACTCACACGCACTCATACACAACCACACACACACACCCGCCCATCCATCCATCTACCCACCCACAACCCGACTCGTCGTACGCATTCGCATCGCAATCAGAGCGAGATAAAATTGGCACACGACTGGCGCTCGTTATCTGCTAACGGAAATGCAATTAATAATTGGCCCAGGCTAGCCTCCTATCTACCCGTTCCCATTTCCGCCCCCAACTTGTAGTAACGACCAATTTCAATTTGATACTGACAATAGGAATATACATGGTGATAGCGATAACGATAACATGCCGCTTCCGCTTCCGACATGGAAATTGATAAATATCTGCACACTATTAAAAATGAGGTTGGAAGAATTTGTAGTAGAACGGGAAGTGCTGCCATATCATGCTTATGTATAGAAAGTAATAGTATTAATAGCAAATGGTGACAAGAACTTTAGAATATAAAATAGATGGCATTTTTGCACCGAAGTAGAAGAACTCCTGGAACTGAAGATCAAATAAATTAAACAAGAAATAGAGTTGAATTTTTGCACATTTAAAGTTTGTACAATTTGAATTTGTATTATAATTCAACGTAGATGAATACGCTGTTAATCATGTTCTCCTTTGTGTAGGGAAACTATCATAAACTGTTTTTATTATCTCATTTACAATTTACATCTTTTCATCTAACCTATAAAACGAATTTGCATATTGCATTGCAGGTACAACACTGAACAAGGAGCTATGGACCAGCAATTCTGTTTACGCTGGAACAATCATCCTACAAATCTGACCGGCGTGCTCACCTCACTGCTGCAGCGTGAGGCGCTCTGCGATGTCACTCTCGCCTGTGAGGGTGAAACAGTCAAGGTGAGCAGCAGCGCACTTAATAATACTTAATCATCCCCCAAAAAGTGACCCGAGGGCATAGCTGAATAAATGGCTTATTATATTTATTTATTTATGTGTTTTTGTTTGTTTTTTTTTTGTTTGTTTTTTTATGTTTAATTTTACAGGCACATCAAACCATACTGTCAGCCTGCAGTCCATATTTTGAGACGATTTTCCTACAGAATCAGCATCCACATCCCATCATCTATCTGAAAGATGTTAGATACTCAGAGATGCGCTCCCTGCTGGACTTTATGTACAAGGGCGAGGTCAATGTGGGCCAAAGTTCGCTGCCCATGTTTCTGAAAACCGCTGAAAGTCTGCAGGTGAGTTTTTTATTAGCAATTACACCACAAACATTTTTAGAAACTTATATTTTAACTTTATTTACATTATTTTCTATAGAATAGTTAGTAAAAAATGTTTTTTTTTTGGTTTTTTATATAGTATTAATCACAATATTTGTTTTATCTGGACAGGTTCGCGGTCTCACAGACAACAACAATCTGAACTATCGTTCCGATTGCGACAAGCTGCGCGATTCGGCCGGCAGTTCGCCCACTGGGCGTGGTCCCAGCTATGGCGGCCTCGGCGCCGATGTGCGCGATTCACGTGACTCCCTGCGCTCCCGCTGCGATCTACGCGACGATTTGCAGCGCAGTAGCAGCTTAAGCCTGAGCGAACGCAACTCGGCAGCAGCTGCCGCCGCCGCAGCAGCAGCGGCTGCCGCTGTCGCTGCCGCAGGTGGCAACGTGAATGCAGCAGCTGCTGCGCTCGGCTTGGCAACCAGCGGCGGCGAACGATCTCCAAGCGTGGGCAGCGCCAGTGCTGCTGCAGCTGCAGTTGCCGCCGCTGTTGCCGCTGCTGCCAATAGGAGTGCCAGTGCCGATGCATTGAATAGTCGCGGCGGCGATGCATGCAGCGATCGGGGCAGCGAGCGAGGTACGCTGGAGCGGGCTGATAGTCGGGATGAGCTGCTGCAGCTGGACTACAGTACTAAGGATAACAACAATAGTAACAACAACAACAACAACAACAATAGCACCAACAGCAGTAGCAACAACAATAACAACAACAACAGCAGCAGCAACAACAACAATCGAGAGCGCAACGATAGCAGAGATAGAGATCGTGACAGGGAGCTGTCCACGACGCCCGTAGATCAGCTGTGTAGTAGTAAGCGCAGACGTAGGAACTCATCATCCAACTGTGATAATTCGTTGTCCTCGAGCCATCATGCGAATGCGGCCCACATACAGGACAGACACTACGCGCAGGACTCTCAGGTGAGCGAAAACCACACAATATCAATCCACTAAATGTATTTATAATTAGTAAATTAGTGCAAATTCGTATTAAAAAATATATATATATATTTATATATATATATATATATATATATATATATATATATATATATTTCCATATCCATAGGCAAGTCTCTCAAAGTTTTAGCTATTTTTATACTTGGAATGTATCCATCTGATATATGTACATCAATTGCCAGATGTATTTAAACAATAATACATTTTCAAATTAATATTTGCTGTTAAATGTGGGCAGAAGTAGCGGTAGCTATTTTCTATTCATTATTATTATGTATTTAATTTTATTGGGCTTACCGCTCGGTTTGTAAAAACCTTTGGAAATAAATCGCTTTTTTTTTAGGCATCAATTTAATTTAATTAGAGACTTAACCGCAAAAAATATAAGCGAATTACAATTGCAATTATGTTTTCATGTACATTTAATTGCAAAATTGATTCAGTTGCTAAACTGTAAAACTATAATCCACCAAGTAATGCTTAATCAAAATAATGAGCTTAACTGTCTGAGTGATATAAAGATTCAAAATGAATATTGTAGATTTTCAAAGATGCTTAAGCTATGTAAGCCGATCTCTCAGATTCCATTGCTGTATTACGCTGAATCTAAACTTTATCATCTATAAATTACAGATCTTTAAAGACAAAACAAATTTCAGTTCAGATTTACTTTTATCCTAAAATTGCTGTTGATTGATATGGGAAAAGTGCGTCCAGCAATGAAGATTGTCGGCTTTTGTTGTTGTTGCTTAAATGTTTTCAAAGTGAATTTATATTTAGGCTCAACATCGATCTAGACTGATTGACATAATAAGTTTGATAGCTCCTCGCAAATCCTCCAAGGGATATGCTTCTAACAGGACAGCTAATTGAAATATCAGCAAAGAAATTTTATGAAATATCCTAGAAATGCATAAAACTTTAATAGTTAGCAAATTATTATAAACTGTACAAAAATAGTACCTCATGTGGGATAATTAAAAAATAAAATAAATAGTTTACAAGAATCATGAAATCCTTTCAAAAGATTAACTTAAGATTGGATTATACAGCTCCAAGATCTTCATAGTTATCGGATTCTGTTTTAAGCAGTTCAAGATGCAGTAGTCGAATCTGATCTTTTAAAAGATTAATGTTTTTTTTTTTAAAGAATTCTTTGCGAGAATATGTATCGCATATGAAATCCTGAATGCTCATCGTTAAACCAAGGCATGTACTCAAAGACCATTTACATCCGGAAGCGGCTCACTCAACTCCGTCAATTTCAAAACTCCGCATGCGTAGCGAAAGCGGAAGTGGATTTAAAAGTCTGAATATTCTCGATATTTTAAATGAAATGCAGGAATATCATTTAACCTGCTGTTCATTTCAGACCATTGTAGCTCATTTGAAGACTCTAAGCCTACAATTAATAAACACCCAATTTAAAATGACAATGGAATGTCAACGAATAGAAAGGCTAATAAAAATGCATGGAAGGAAGTCAAGCTTATTCAATAAATAATATGTTTAGAATTAACAGCTAAGCGCTGCAGTTGTTTTTTGACTACTTGTTAACTTTAGAAGTTAAGGATTTCAAATTGGATTGACTAAAACAATAATCATATATCATAATTAAAGCAGATGGTGTCTTAATATGTGTGTTTAGACTGCAGACGTATGAAAAATGTGTGTCGATATTTAGGCAAAATCGGAAATATAGGATTTTATTTTAGTTTTATTTCATTACCTGGATAAAAAGAAATATGAACAACCAATAAAAAGTGTTCCGCCCTTAATTTGTAGTAACGACCAATGACAATTCGATACTGTCAATAGGAAAATACATTGTGATAGCGATAACGATAACATGCCGCTTCCGCTTTCGTCATGGAAATTGATAAATAGTTGCACACTATTAAAAAGGAGGTTGGAAGAATTTGTAGTATAACGGGAAGTGCTGCCATATCATGCTTATGTATAGATAGTAATAGTATTAATAGCAAATGGTGACAAGAATTTTAGAATATAAAATAGATAGCATTTTTGCACCGAAGTAGTAGAACTCCTGGAACTGAAGATCAAATAAATTAAACAATAAATAGAATTGAATTTTTGCACATTTAAATTTTGTACAATTTGAATTTGTATTATAATTCTACGTAGATGAATACGCTGTTAATCATGTTCTCCTTTGTGTAGGGAAACTATCATAAACTGTTTTTATTATCTCATTTACAATTTACATCTTTTCATCTAACCTATAAACAGAATAGACTGATTGACCTAATAAGTTTGATAGCTCCTCGCTAATTGAAATATCAGCAAAGAAATTTTATGAAATATCCCAGAAATGTATAAAACTTTAATAGTTAGACCTAAAACGGAGCAAATTATTATAAACTGTACAAAAATGCTACCTCATATGGGATAATTAAAAATAAAATAAATAGTTTACAAGAATCATGAAATCCTTTCAAAAGATTTACTTAAGATTGGATTATACAGCTCCTCGATATGCCTTGAACTCAGCTGTTAATCACATTATTCTAGTTTTGGACAATTACTTGTGTGTTTCTCAACAGATCTTAATGAAGTTTGTACAGTATCTTCTGCCTATGATATACTTTTACACAACTTCAATATACTATTAACACATTATAAATGGCTGATTCAAACATTTCCGAATCGAATAAAAACATTAAACTTTGCCAAATATTATCATGTTATCAGGCAGAGCTAAAATGCGAAGAAACATTTATGTTTTGGCACTTACGATTGAACAGCCTGTCGGCAACTTAACTTATCGTGAGGCTTGCCACGTGCCCCATTCGTAATCAGGCTTATAATACACATATAATTTTCGAATGATTTATACAATTCTGAGATATGATGATAAGCGGAATAAAAAATGTATGCTTACTTTTTGTTGGTGTTTTTTTGTTATTTATTTTTACAGGCCAGCGCACACAGTAACTTCAAGTCGAGCCCGGTGCCGAAAACGGGCGGCAGCACATCCGAATCGGAGGATGCGGGAGCCGGCGGCGGCAGACGCGATTCGCCATTATCGATGACCGTTGGTCATTTGGGCGGTGGAAATGTGGGCGCGGCCAGTGCACTGAGCGGCCTCAGTCAGTCGCTAAGTATTAAGCAGGAGCTAATGGATGCACAGCAGCAGCAGCAACAACAGCATCGCGAGCATCATGTGGCGCTGCCACCCGAATACTTGCCGGTAAGTCCATGCCCCAATTTGACCCCTCTCAACGATGATTGTATGTACAGAAATGCAACTATTGCGAAATGCCTTTTTTAGTTTGCTAAGTTAATTGTTAAGGTTTTTTCTTTTGGACCGGTGCGATGGTTCCAATTACATATTTGTTTCTGTTGTTGTTGTTATTGTTGTATATGTACAAAAATCTGCAGCATCATTTTGTTTGATTTGTTTTTCTTAACTAACATTAACTACATATACAATTGCATAATTTAAGTCAATTGCAAAATGCTTCGAAGAGAAAACAAGAAAAAACAAAAAAGTCGACAAAAAAAAAATATAAATTAAAAAAAAAAACAAAAAAGCTGCTAACAAATATATTGTTTTTGTAAAATTTAAGAAAAAATCTCGTAAAGCAACGGCGAGCAGAACGAAGGATTGGTTGTTTGTTTGTTTGGTTTGTTTATAGATTACTCTGAATGCGAATATCTCGAAATGGAATATCGGCCCAGAAAAAGAAAAAATCTCAACAATTTGCAAAAAAAAAAAAAAAAAAAAAATAGAAAAAAAGAAACAGCGAAAAATCCTTCCTTCTACCAGTAGATTGTTTTGCCAATTTTTTCTTAAGTTGATTTTTCCCAAATTTTTTTTCGTTTTGTTTTTGAATGCTGTTGTTGAATGCGTAGCTTAAGGCTAGCAGCACAAAAGACACAACTGACGCGTTTTCAGTCAACAAAACGAGCACAATGCATCAGCTGCTGTTGCAGCAGGCCGTGGAGGCGCAACTCAAGAGTCTCCAGCTACAATATCAGCAGGAGACGCTAGACAGCGCCGTCAAGCGATTGCTACAACAACAACAGCAGCAGCAACAGCAGCAACAACAACAAACATCACACCAGCAACAACATCAGCAACAGCAGCAGCAGCAGCAGCAACAACAACAACATCAGCGCCACATTGAGCACAAACAGTTGCTTGGGCCACCGCCGCCCGCTGCAAGCAGCGCCAGCACATCCCGCAAAAGTGGACGCTTTCGCGCCAATTGGCTATATCAGTTCGATTGGCTGCAGTACGATGAGTTGGCCAATACGATGTTCTGCAAACACTGCCGCAAATGGAGCACTGAGCTGGCTGATATACGCACCTCCTTTGTCGAGGGCAACTCGAACTTTCGCTTAGAGATTGTCAATCATCACAACAAATGCAAGTCGCATCGCCTCTGCTACGAGCGGGAACTGCAGGAGCAGACCAATCTGGCCACGACAACAGCTGTGTCGGCCAGCAGCAGCAATAGCGCCAGCTCCACAAAACGTTCATCTCCGCCCGATATCATAACCATAAATGTGGGCGAGGACAGTGCCTGATTGTCAATTTCAACTTAACCCGCGAACTTAACTATAAATGCAACAAACACACACACACTCACACATACATCTATACATATATACACATGATGCACATGCTCAGGATTAGTGTTAGGCTTTAGTGTTAGTAGCTTTTGTAATTAGTTGTAAGCAGCTTGAAGCATTTTGCAATTGACAAATAAAAAACAAAATCAAATAATTTGCCTTAAATATCCGCAACTGAATTACAATTGTCAACATTTCTTTTCCACTCTCTCTCTCTCCCTCTCTCTCTCTCTCACTCTCTCTGTCTGTCTGTCTGTATATTCAATATATATCTGTCTCACTCAATATCTTCGATATGTATCGCATTTTGCACATCCTTAGACCGCCGCTCTGAAAATGCACGCCGAGGATATGTCAACGCTGTTAACCCAACACGCACTGCAGGCTGCGGATGCGCGGGATGAGCATAATGATGCCAAGCAGTTGCCACTGGATCCGACGGACAACATTGACGGTGAGTAGCGCCCCATCTATGCCATACCAATATATATATATATATATATATATATAAAGATATATACATACATATGTGTTTCGTTATTTTCTATCTGTGCTTTAAAGCTAATGCACTCGAAACTAAACAGATATGAAATATTACTATATATATAAACAACAACAAAAAAAATAGAGACTTTGCGTCTGTACAATTGTTTAATTAGCTTTTGATTTCTGTATAATACCATTTCTTTTTTTTTTTGTCAAGTCCGAGCGGAACAAAGTAAAGATCTTGTAAAAAAAAAACAAACAATGTAAAAAACTGTAGTTCTTAGCTTAATTTTCCGTATAATCCGTTCCTAACTATCCCCGCGAACTTTCCTGTAGACAAAAAATGTATTTTTTTCTGTAATACTTATGCGCAATTAAAATGCACGAATAACTGACTACAGTGGACATAAATAAGTATATTTATTATTTGAAATTAATAATCATGTCCACTGTATGCAAGTGTTTCGATATATCTATTTTTAAGCCCAACAAATTATATCCTGCATGCATTTGATCGTATCCATATATCTATTATCCACGTATACCCCCTTGTACCCCGAAACCGACCCAAATCCAATTTCACATCAAAGCAGTTAAGGGGCCATTCAACCCGAACACCTTCTTCCCTTCATGCGTTAAACGACAAGTTTTCTGTACCAACTACCTACATTTTAGTACGTAGTTTTATTTATCCACCTATTTACTTTATATGCTTTTGTAATTATGTATTTATCTATTTTTCCGTATGTATCTTTTTTTTTTTTTTTGGCGTTTTGAATGATAACTCTTAAGCGAAAGATAAGGCAAGATATAAATATAAAAAAAAAAAAAAAAAAAAAAAAACATAAAACCAAACCAAAAAAATGCCACTTGCTAGAGCAACAGATCAACACCTCTCCTACCAAATAGTTGAAATGCTATATTTTCCTTACATATAGCACAAGCATTCAAAAGTATTTAATTATTTTGTTGTTTGTCGTATACTCGTATTGCCATCATTATTTTTGTATTATTCGTATATTGTTATCTTTACTATATAGCATTTAGGCAAATCTACCTTAGCAAACTTATCGTAATCGTTATCGTTATCATAATCGTAATCGTGTAGTTACGGTTTAGTTTTGTATGTTGCCGCATGTTGCATGTTTATGACGCATACACACACGCCCAATATATTTTCTTACCTTATGTATCGAAACATATTTTATATTACTTTTACTTTTAATGATTTGTCACCTACTCATTTCACTCTCTACTTTATGATTAAGCTTACTTCTTATCACTATTATTTTTTATAAAACCTAGTTGTACTCATATAGGAAATGCCTCCGCTGACAACCACGATTTTGTTGAGTTTTATCGAATTGGCTCACTATAACATCATAACCAAAAAAAAAGAAAAAAAAACAAGAAAAACAAACGATTTTCATAAAACACTTTTACACCTTTATAATATATATAATAATAGTAAAAAAAAGCTCACAACAAAAATTACAAAATTGAAACTCAAGTTTCACACACAATACAAAATTTCTACACACACACACACACACACTATTCTGCTGGGACATTGCTTTTCAATTATTATTGACATTCCTTTTTCTATCTGCTTATCATCTAGATATCTTTTATCTTTCTTTTTTTATGTTGTTTTTTAAGTAGTTTTGAGTGTTGTTTTTGTTTAACATAATTTTGAAAAAAAAAAGTTTTTCACTACTTAATCATAACTCTGCTAAACTTAAAGAAAACCCCTAAAATTTTTCAACTCTATTTTCGTCTTTAATGTTGCAACTTATTGTCTAAGAAAATCGAATACATAAAATGTTTGAATAATTAAACTACAAAAAAAAAAAAAAAAACTTTCGGTTAGAATACCAACATAGTTATAAAAATTAAAACCAAAAACAAAACGCTTCAAAATTAATTAAGTTTCTATATAATTTTTATGTTCAATATTTACACTAACCTTGCTGCATATATAATTTAATGTGAGCTCCATTTATTTGCCAAACTGTTTAACGAGATGTAAATGGATGTCTGTTTTTTAATTGGTTTGTCAATTTACTAAATGTTTTTTCAAACACATTTTCGTCTCTCTCTCTCTCTATATGCATATACTATATCTATGTGTATGTGTCGTTATGTGTGTGTGTGTGTGTGTATGTGTGTGTATGTATGTATGCGATCATGTGTGTGTGTGTGTGTGTGTGCGTGTGTGAGTGTGATTATAGTCTTACGGTCTTACCAATCCTAAGCAAGAGCGCCATGCGCATAACTTACGGCAAAAACAAAACAGGAATTACCGTTACCGTGCACATTGGCTCGACATTGCGCAAAATTGAAAGGATAAATCGAACCCTAACAAACCCTCTCACCAAACCTCCACTTAGACCTAGAAAAGAACTGGAATTTGCATAAAAAAAAAAAAACAAAAACAAAACGGAGAAATTTAAATATAATTATAAAAAAAAATAATAATAAGTATCATAAAACAATGAAATCAAACTATGAAACTATTGCTGAAAATTTGTTGCAACATTGAAGTACTAAAATGAAAAAAACCATTTGATAATGAAAACACAATTATTGTATTATATACTGTAAATGGCCACAAATGACACATAAACATATGAAGTTAACATTTTGATTTATTTACACTGTTGTTTTCCTTATATGCCATATAATGCAAAATATACACACAATACTTTATAGCTGAATTGTTTTAATAGAGCCTCTAATGTCCTTATGAAACCTGCCAAAACCAAATGATACCTTAGCTTTTAAGTCCAATTTTTAATTTGTGTTAATTATTAATTTAATTTTAGATTACCTCAAATTATAAATTAAGATGCTATATAAATACGTTTCCGTTAATTATAATTTGTTTTGTGTTACCTACGAAAATTCGATATGATTATAAAAGCCTTAGAAACCAACCACCCAGCTATAGCCAGCCAGCTTCATTCCTAGTTCCATTGTCAATGCATTTGAAATGTAATTTTCGTTACGTTATGCCTTATCAATAATTATATATACTACATATATGCCAAAAATAAACATATACAAAACAAAAACAAAAACAAAAACAAGAAAAAAACAATGAAGTGAAATGAAAACTTTTACGAAATGTTTTACATACATATATATATACATATATCTGAATTCAAACAAAGAACAATTCTTGTAGCTGTCTGTTATTCCATTCGTTTGCATACTACCTAAAACATATATCGTAAATACATATATCTACCTTACTCTACTGTTGTTAGTACCAAATGCCTACTACACCATATATACCACATACATATTATACCACATAGCAAATATGCAACCCTTCGACATGCCAAGTTTACGCCCAGATTACGCACACACCTTTAAGTTCCATTTACCAATTGGCCACTGTGGCCGACCATTGTGCGCATGGAATGTAAACGAGAGCGCATCCCACGGTTCCTGGCATTGCATTCCATAGTCGCACCAAAATGCTAAACAAAAAAAAAAAAACAAATGCAAAAAAAAAAAATAAACAAAAAATTATTCGCCATTCGCTCTCACAGTGATAACGCATAATACGAAAACGCAAATGTTTGCAGGTCGCGTTAAATGTTTTAACAGTGCCAGCAAGCACGAGATGGACACCAGCACCGATGTCGACGTCACTGTTAATGCACCCCTTATTGTCGACGATCACGATCACGATATGGATGCGGAAGAGGATGGGGAGCAATCGCCACACGTTGCCTATCATGCGACGCCCAAGTATCGACGTGCAATAATCTATCCGCCGCATGATGAGGATATGCCCGCACAGGATATATATACGGACAGCAGCTACAATTGCGAGTACAAGTGCAGGGAGCGAAATATGCGCGCCATACGCTGCAATCGCCAGCCACATTATGCTCAGCAGCAGCAGCAACAAGATCTGAATCTTCATCCACAATTGCATAATCATCAGATAGCAACGGCGCCGCAAACTGCTTTAAATCTGGGCCGGCACAGCACTGAGACGCTGTGTGCGGCTGAAGCCTCCCATTCGCCCACACCAACCACATCGAGCAGCAGCTATCGGGAACAGCAGCCGCATTTGAGCTACGCCCGACCGCAGTCGCCGACGCAATCAACGATTCATCAACTGGAGCTGGCGCATAGCTATGGGCATCATGGCCATCATGCGTCGCCCCAACACCATTCGCCGCATTATCAGTCCGGCAGCACCGCCGCCATGGCACCGCTATCGCCGCAACCGAGCTCATCGTCCGCCTCAGGCAGCAGCACATCGGCAGCAGCTGCTGCTGCAGCGGCCGCAGCGGCAAATCGTCGGGATCACAATATCGACTACTCGACACTGTTTGTGCAGCTGTCGGGCACGTTGCCGACACTGTATCGGTGTGTGAGTTGCAACAAGATCGTGTCGAATCGCTGGCATCATGCCAACATCCATCGGCCACAGAGTCACGAGTGTCCCGTTTGTGGTCAGAAGTTTACGCGACGGGATAATATGAAGGCGCATTGCAAGATTAAGCATGCGGATATCAAGGATCGCTTCTTCAGCCATTATGTACATATGTGATCACTTCTCTAGATAGTTAGCCGTACATGAATCGGATCGTTGTGACGATATTGTATTGTATCTAAATACCCTCAAATACGAACCGGATATTTAAAGTCTGCACCCAGTTATACGTAAATACTATTTAGATCCCTAAGAATTTCAGAGAGTTTCTTCAGCGTTTACCGCAACTAAAAAGTTAAACAAATTAAGTCGAATCAATTCAAATCAAATTAAATTGAATCAAAAACAAAAGGTTTTCAAATTTTATCTATTCACAATTTTAAAATAACAAACTACATACGTAACTTATTAAATTGTAACAATAAGGTATTTGAGGCGATTTTAGGTAAATCAAACAATTAATGCAAACAAATGTGTATTGTACTCTTGTAGTTGATTTAAAAGACTTTTATTATTGTTACTTATAAACCTTTAGATGCTTTTTTACATCAATTAAATATGGTACTTGAATTGTCAGCCGAAATTATATATACCGCATACCGAGACCAGTACTTAAGAGTAAACTTAAAAAAGTATTACATTAGAATTCCACGACTTATTTAATTTATTTTGAATATTTATTTTTCTGTTTTATATATTGTGTTTTTTTTTTAAATACTCTTACAAATTTTCATTTAACATGTTCTGTAGTGAGTTTTAACTAATACTATTTTATGTGCCATATTATATAGTATTTAAATAAACAGAGTATGTTTAATCAAATGAAATAGAAAGTGCGAGAATTCTCTGCAAATGAAATTTGATCGTCCATAATAAACAAAAAAAAAAAACACAAAAACATAATTTTAACCCCAGATGCAACGAGTGAGGCATGCAACAACGAGACTAATGAGTAGCTGTTATTTTGGAAAAACAAAGATGTTAAAGCGAAAAGCAATAGAAACAAATACGATTTCATAAAGTATTAAGAACAAATCTATTTTACTTATATGTACTACTTATATCCAGCAAGTTGTCTCAACTTTGGCAACTTAAGAAAAACAAACTGTGAAATTGTTATACAAATTGAAAGCGCATAATTTCAATTGCAATTATACCACAGTGCCACAGTGAAAATGAGCCCCACTTGCACTTCACAGATTTATTTTGAAATATATATAAAGAATATTGCATTGAAGTTATGCGCCAGTTGAATCTCTGTACTCGAATCTTTGGCAAAATGCCCACCGAAGTCCATTAGTTGCATATTAAAATAATAAATTGAACTTTTAACAATATGTATTTTAAAGTGGTTTGCTAAAGGATCATTATTTGAGCCATATTCAATACTCAGCAATAACAGTAACAATACAAACTAAACATCAAATCAAATGCATTGTATTTCAAAATAGTCGTAATTTAAATCCAAATACAAAATCAAATTTATGCAAAATGCAAGCTCTATAGAAATAGCAAAAACAAAATCAGCAAACAATACTTAACGTCTTTAACTTTACTTAATAAATCTCTTTCAAATCAAATTCCAGTTCTTTTCAATTAACTTAAATCAACAAAAATATCACAAATGTTGTCCCTAGGTACTGAACTAACAACAAGATCAACCATCTTAACCCAGTTTATTCAATAAAAACCAAAAAAAAAATACGAAAAATACGAAAAAATATCAAAATCAAAATCAATTTCAATTAATAATAATAAACAAAACTACAAGCGCACTGTCTTCCTACGGTAAGTTTCATTTTCTAAGCTCTAATTAACAATAACCTCAAGTTTATTTGTAATTTAGATATGTTTCATTAGTTATAAATACATTTAAATGCATAATTGTTTAAGTTACGTATTGATTTATGTATGTTTGTTCTATATATCTTAAAAAGCTACAGTACCAAAAAAAAAAAAAATAATAATTAAAAAATTTCAAATTTTTATAAAACAAACTGGAAAAAACAGGAATTGGCCAAACGATTGAAAATATTTACTATACCTAATGTTTTGAAACACTTGCTCTTACTCACTCACTTTCTAACTCTCTATCTATCTCTGTCTCTCTCTCTCTCTCTCTCTATCGATCTCTCTATCTATTGCTGTCACTGTCTTTCTCGCTCTGTTTTCGTAAGGATTTTTGTTATTTTAGCTCTTTATATTTGTATACAGCAGGCAGGAGGGGTGTTGAAAATATGTTCGATATCAATATTCAAATGTTTCGCAACATCCGATACATTCAATTTGACTCTCTCTCTCTTTCGCTCACTCTCTCTCTCTCTCTCGCTCTTATTTTTTATCAGTATTAATAAATATCCATCTTTAATGCTGTTATTATATCGAATATTATCTGTGAATTCTGGCCCTCTCTGTTACCCCTTGTACATTCATATTAGCATCCCCCAATACCAAAAAAACTGCCCTCAACACCAGTACCAACCAGTACAATATCTCTTGAAACTAATGCGGTTTCGGCTTTAAATAAACCAAAAAAAAAGCAATACAAAAATTAACAGTCAGTAAAACCACGAAAACATCCAACCAACCAATACACAATCATCATCTTTTAAACCATTAAACAAATTATAAAAACTTAGTGTTATATATTTATATATAATATATATATATATATGTATAATGCTTAAAAATTGGCATACTCAAATAAATAATAAAAAATAATAAACAGTTCATTGCATATATATACTTTTAATCGTATACATACATTATTTGGTTTGGGTTCTTCAAAATATCAGCACCTGAAATTGAGTATAGTTAATCGACTTATAAATATTGATTATTGTAAATAATATTTTTAAAATACACACTTATTTACATTTATTTCTCAAGCAACTGTCACTTGCCAATGCCCTAAAAGCGTTATTTTATACTCATCAACAATTTATTGAAATTCAATTCTCTTTTGTATACTTCATTTAGTTGATCACCCTTCAATTATCGTGTTGTCAACATGTCTTCCAAATTAATTGAAAATGCTTAACTAATTTAATTATTTTTTTTTTTCGTTTTTTTCTTTTGGGTGTAACAAAATTTTTGCGTGAAATTTGTATTTGATATTTGAAATAAGATATAATAAAAATATTTCAATCAAGTTCCCACACCTCTCATGGTTCCCCAAGCAACACACTTAAAATTCCAACACATATATTACTAAAAAAAAAAAATAAAAAATAATAATCCCCAGATAAGATGCAAACACATCTTATATCATTTGGAATTATATAATATTGAACCAATTTTCGTTACATCAAAGTATTCATTGGCAATGCTAAAAAAAAGGGCAACAATTATAACTAGAGAGTGCTACAAAAAAGAACAAAAATAAAATGCAGTATATGAAACCATTCAATTATACAGCTTAAGAATATAATAATTTTTCTGTTTCTGTGAATCACCAACAACAACATTGTTTTTCTCTTCTTTTTTCTTTACGCGTTTGAACGAACAAACCAAACCAAAAAAAAACCAAAATCCAAAAATCAAACCGAACCAATGCAAATACATTTTAAATTCAAATTAAACAATTTAAAAAAAAAAAATAATAATATAAAATAAATAAAAACAAATTTCGGTTATGCAAACGAAGGCTCAAAGGCCTGGCACATGCGGCTCACCTTTGAGCGCCTCTCCGGTGGCTGCAACCTGCATCGCTGTAAGCTGTGCGGCAAGGTCGTGACGCACATACGCAACCACTATCACGTCCATTTCCCCGGGCGCTTCGAGTGCCCCCTCTGCCGCGCCACCTACACCCGCAGCGACAATCTGCGCACCCACTGCAAATTCAAGCACCCCATGTACAATCCGGACACCCGCAAGTTCGACAACCTAATGTCCGCCTCAGCGACAACGGTGGGCGGTGCGGCCACGCCCACAGCAACACAGCTAGCGGCCGCATCGCAGGCGGCAATGGCAGCGGCGGCAGCAGCCGCCTTTACTGCAGCGCAACAGCAGCAACAACAACAACAGCAGCAGCAACAACAGCAGCAGCAGCAACAGCAGTCGCAGCAACAGCAGCAGCAGCAATCACAACTGCAGCAGCATGCGCATGCATTGGCCCAACAGCATATGTTGCATCAGCAATTGCAGCCGCAGCATCATCAGCAGCAGCAGCATAATGCAACAAGTGAATGATACTGCCAGTATCTGGCCTGGAACTATGGTGCATGTAGTCCAGAAGACTCGTCCATGAAGCAACCGCCGCACTTTGCCACCAACTATCAACACCATTTCCAACACCATCACCAGCAGCAACAACAACGCATTGCGCAGCCCTTTAATTTCTATGCACGCAACTATTATCAACAACAGAATGATGAAGCCAAAACACAAACAACACTTACCAGCAACGGCAACATGAGAGCCCAGCAGAAGCACCAACAGCAACAGCAACGCCAGCAGCAACAGCAGCAGCAGCAGCAAACGATTGTCATTGATGAGAGCGACACAGAGCTGGAGGAGGAGGCACGTGACATGGAAAACTGTATGCGGCGAAGTTTCAATCATTATATGGCACAGTTAAAGCAATTAGCACCGAGCAGTGCTGCAAGTAGCGATTATATTGCCGATGCAACAATGTGCAATAGCAACAAAAGCGATAGCGATAACAACAGCAAGATCAACAATATCAACAATACAACAAATGCCAATCAAATGGATGCTAATACTGTTTCAACAACAACTACTACTACTACTAATAATCATAGTAATGATAATGCAAATACTAATAACTATTGTAATCGTTATGCTAACAACCCTAGAAGCTTCGACAGGCAGCTGCCACCATAAACAGTGGCAACACAAAACAAAACAGCAGCAGCAGCAATAGCAGCAACAGCAGCAACATCAATAGCAACAATAGCAACATCAGTCGCACACAACAGCAACAAGGCAACCGATTGATACTCAGACTAAGCAAATTATATATAAACACAAACTGAAAGAAATCTTTAATGTTGACCATGCATTGCAAAATATTATGGTAAGCCAAATTTATTTGTCAATTATGTAGGAAACAAACAAAAAAAAACAAAAATCTAACTAAATGCTAATGAAAAATGAAAAAGAATGGAGTCAAATGCTGACCTGTGTACGATTCATGGTTTCAACTGGATTCAGATGTTTCATTTAGTTACATAGACTACATAATAAGAAAACTTAATTATATCACAAACACAAATACAAACACATAATAATACATTACAAAAAAATCAAATAAATATAAAACATAGGGGTTTCCAAGGCAGCCAACA